ACCTTATATATACTGTTATATTCTCTCCCTTCATCTCTGACCTCTATGATGTACCTTCTTTAATGTCCTCTTTACCACTTCCTATTACTTATACTATGTCAGGCCTCCAAGATTCGGTCTTTGCCTCTCTCCTGCATTTGTCTGTCTCAGGGAGGCCTCCCTCCTTTGTCCCCTAGTCTTTGACTGGGAGATCCCACATTTACCTATAACTCAATGTCACCTACCACTCAATAATTCATGACCCTCTCTGCCACAGGAGTATCCCTTCTTAACTTTATTTCTGACAATGGCGCAACACTCCTACAGTCCTCCACACTCAAAAACTTCAGTTTTGGGGCGCCTGCGTGGCTCAGTTGATTGAGCAGACTTCAGCTTAGGTCATGATCTCACCATTTGTGAATTTGAGCCCCGCATCGGGCTTGCTGCTGTTAGCATGGAGGCTGCTTGGGATCCTCTGTCCTCCCTCCTTTCAAACAAACATTAAAAAAAAAATTATTAACCCCCCCCCCCCCGGACAAAACTTCAGTCTTCCTTAAATTATCCTGTTTCACAGAGCTATACTAATTTCTTCAAAACACTTCATATATATATATATTCACTTATTTTTTATCATTTTCATCATCACCTCACACATAGATTTCTGTAATATCTTCACAAGCAGTAGCTATTCACGTATGTAGCAGCCAATGTAATTTTCCAAAAATGCTTCTTTGGGAACTTCCGCATAAAGGCTTCCTTTCTGCCCAAATGCATGTAGTTCAAAACACTCAAAAGGCCATACCTTTCCCCATTACTTCCTGACTGAAATCCAAGGTAATCCTTTCTTCTTACTACCCTTTCTCCTCCCACAACCTCTCCAGACTCATTACTGCTCCTATCTTTGCTCTTGTCTGTCTCCCGTTCGGTTTCAATGGAGCCTTCAGTAGATAATCTTAACCTATACATCTATTCCTTTCTTAAAGCCAGTGGTATGCTGGGTCATGGGGGGAGGTCAGTGGAGAAAATCCCTGATTTGTAGTGTTTGCCAATAACCCTGACCACAGCAGATTTCAAGCTATCAATGTAACATGACTAATTGTGAAATTGGGAAGCAATGTGCACAAAACCAATAGGAACTGGCTCCATGACACCATGGCAGCACTTAAAATCTTTTCTGCAGTCTAGAACTTAATATATACCGTACTACATAAGCTCTCCAGATGTATTATATAGGTGTATTTGTTCATTGTAATAAACTGCAGCCCTACCAAGAGAGGGAGTCCACTCACTTTAGAGTTTTCAGAGTGTACAGGGCATATAATGTGTGCTCAATAAAAACCTGTTGGCAACACCTGGAGTGTGTGATAAGCAAAGCCAAAGAGCACTAAAAATGGGCATGTATTCATTTAGGGTTGGTTAGCAAGAACAAACAAAACGAACAATGAAGGCGCAGAATGTACTGGAAATGAAATCGGAATGGGAGCCAGGAGATATTGGTTATGTCCCAGCTTTGCACCTGTATGACTTTTCTGGGGTCAACTCAGTTTCCTTCTGAGGCCTTAACTTTCCTCATCTGTAAAATTAGGGGGCTACACTTCATGACCTCTAAGTTATCTCTTGATTCTAATGCTGCAGAATGTCAGTTAAACTGACAAGGAGGCTCCATGGTCCACTGTATTGGTATAACAATGATAATGATAAAATCATTTTAAAATCTGTTGAAAAGTCAAAGAAGTGTAGGACAACAAAATTTTTCTGAAGGTGTGAAGAAACATTCTTGTAAGGCCATTCCATTCCTTTGACCTAATAATTATTCTGCAGAAATTAATAATTGTTAATTTTAAGTTTTTAATTTTTAAAAAAGCTAAAAATAATTATTCAAAGAATATCAACTGCCTGTCTACTATGAGCTGGACATTGATAAATGCTGAGGATTAGTAAACACAATTTAGTCTTTACCGCCATGGAACCTACAGGAGTATAGTTCAGTAGTCATTTAGTTCCAAATCATTTTATCAGTGCCTTTTAACTTAAAGAGCACAGATTGCTCTAAGGAATGGATGCGAGATACAGATCCTCTCTTCCCCAAACAGGTATATAGTCATAAAAACATGAATATAATTTCAGAGGTTCACAGGACCTCTCATCTGAGAAGGGGTCCAAGAACCACAAGTTAACAACTCTGACCTATATCTACAGCTACACCCACAAAATGACAAATTCAAGCTCATAAAAACCTATATTCTGTTTGCTAAGAAAGTACAGCAAAGATTTCCAACAAAAACATTTAAAAACAAAGGTCCATCGTTTAAAGGATTAAGCTTTGGTTATTTGAAATTTCACTCACCTAGAGTATCTTATTCCAAATAATATTCTGGGTAAGTGAAGCATGCCTAGATTATGTTTCTATATGATCTGCCATTCCTTTGGTTAAGGCTGCCTGATAAATCAGTCTTCTTACTGAAAATCCATTTGCACATGAATGTGTGCTTCCATTTCCCAAGTAAATCTGCATTTCATGACACTTCCATTTCACGTTAAAGAGACCCAATTAGGGGCGCCTAGGTGGCTCAGTCTGACTCTTGATTTCAGTTCAGGTCATGATCTCCTGGTCATAAGATCAAGCCCCACGTTAGGGCCCCTGTGCTGAATGCAGAGCCAGCTTGGGATTCTCTCTCCCCCTCTCTCTGACCCTGCCCTGCTTGCGCTCTCTCAAAATAAATGAACAAACATTTAAAAAAAAGAGAGAGAGATGGGGCACCTGGGTGGCTCAGTGGGTTGAGTGTATGACTTCAGCTCAGGTCATGATCTCATAGTTCATGAGTTCGAGTCCTGTGTCGGTCTCTGTGCTGACAGCTCAGAGCCTGGATCTTGTTTCAGATCCTGTGTCTCCCTCTCTCTCTGCCCCACCCCTGCTTGCACTCTGTCTCTCTGTCTCTCAAAAATGAATAAACGTTAAAAAAAAAAAAAAAGAGAGAGAGGCCCAGTTAGTCATGACAAACACATATACAGCACACACATATCCTATATAAGCAGCTTGAATGAAGCAAAGAGCACAAGTTCCTGAATTAGAAGGCACTTACTCATCTCCCAGTTCTAACGTTTTATGGCTAAATGATCTTGGACAACTCATTTAACCATCTGACCTATGTTTATTCACTTGTACATTGGAGAATGAATGATAAGACTTACCTAAGAAGGATACTATAAGAAATCAATCAAGTAAAATAATGTATGTCAGAGTATTTAGCTATAAAATGGGCACAAGTGGGTGAAAAGGCAGATCACTTAGAGTTGCTCACAAAACATCAGACATTCAAAGACCCTTTGGAAAGAGTTCTTCATGTAACATTCTTAGTGGATCTATCTGGAATAAAGTAAGTTGTTCTTTTTAGCTCAAGGAATTTTGTTTTGATTGATTGCCCAATACTGAAGATCTTGAATATCAAAAGTCTGCAGAGAGGCTTTTGAATCTTTATAATGCATAAATATATCTTCAAGACAGGAAGATAAACTACTTATAAACCTTTAGTCTTCGTTCCTATGTAGTCAAAGTCTCTTTAACTCAGCTATTTTAGTTTTTTTACAGAGTAATTATTCTTTCACTTACCTTGTAACAGCTAACAGGTCAACAGGGTGTACACAAAAGATTTTAGGTAAATTAGTTCAACGAAGCTGAACAAATTAAGGCAATCAATCTCTTTTAGTGGAGGGAGTGTTTATTTTATTAAAAAAATTTTTTTTTCAACGTTTTAATTTATTTTTGGGACAGAGAGAGACAGAGCATGAACGGGGGAGGGGCAGAAAGAGAGGGAGACACAGAATCGGAAACAGGCTCCAGGCTCCGAGCCATCAGCCCAGAGCCTGACGCGGGGCTCGAACTCATGGACCGCGAGATCGTGACCTGGCTGAAGTCGGACGCTTAACCGACTGCGCCACCCAGGCGCCCCTAGGGAGTGCTTATTTTAAAAGAAGTGTATAATATTCTCTAGCTTGAGACATGTTTTCCAGTCCATTCTCCATTGGAACACAAAATAAGCCATAGAAAGGGTTTTTTTTTTGTTTTTTTCTTTTTTTACATTTCTTCATTTACATTTGTAATGTACATTATTTCAATAGGCAAGTTTGGGGTGATTCTTCCTTTAAAATTTGAAATAGACAGCTTTTTAGTAATTTGCCACCAAGGAAAAAAAAAATCAATCATCACATCTTACCAAAGCTCATAAAGGTGAACAAAAGTGGTTTGCCCTGGTGCCTGGAAAAGTGTCAAGAGGCAAACTTTCTGATTTCTCGGCTACTACTAAGCAAAGTAGTTCCCCAGGCTCTGGTAGTTCCCCAAGGAGACAAATTAAGCTCTGACTCCAAATACCCATTACACAAATGTCTACTAGAAAAATAAACTGCAGATTCTGCATAACACTTTCCCCCAAGAAATCCAAAGTACTTCACTGTAGAACTGTTTAAAAGAAACGCATCTCCCATTTTAGAAAAACAATTACTATTACTCTGTGAAACCTTAAATCCCCTTTCTCATCAGACACTAAGTGGGTAGGAAACCGAGACTCGAGGTTTTCCCTGAGAGCAGAGATAAACTCTTGAGATGGTGAGAGACTCAAGTAGAGTTATGGACGGGAGAGGTTAGGGTGGAAACCTGAATCAATAAAGCAAATGGGGGGGGGGGGGTCTCTAGGGATGGCAGGTGCCTTAAGAACTGAGCTCAGAGGAGACAGGGGATGGGGCGGGGCGATAAAAGAACGGGGAGCAAGGGCTCTTTAAGTTAGTGGGAGCCGGGTGGACGGATGGCCAGGCACCAGGGTCACTCCTGGCCAACTCCAACTATCTGCTTAACAGTTGCTCTCTCAGCTTTTGCTCTCTCCCATCACTTTGGGTAGGATTCTGAGGAACTTGGGAGTACGTGATGAAGTCAAGCAGTTACCAGGCCTGGGGGAAGCTGCAGGATTCCTCAATCTCCAGCAGCCACGCTATTTTCCCAATCTCCCCAAGCCCGACCCGCGTCTCACCCGCCGCCCAGCGCAGGCTGCGCAGGCTCCCCATGGCCGCCTACTCCGCCGACCGGACTGCGCCTCGCAGGCGGTGACAGCGCGCGGGCCCGTTCAATGCCACCAAACTCCGCAACAGGAAAGGGGTGGGCGGTACTGGCGGACGCGACAGGCGGGGCTGGAGGGAGGACCCAGCAGGCCGTGCGTGACGCGCGGGGCGTGTGGGCAGGGCTTGCGTGACGCACGGAGCGTGTGGGACGTGCGTGACGCGCGGAATGTGCGGGCTAAGCTTCCGGTTCTCCCTCAAGCGGTGCCGCCTCCGCGACGCGACTTTAAGAAAGCTTTTGTAAAGGAGTCTGGGTGTCAGAGGCCTTTGCATTATCATTCTCTGTGTCTGAGAAAGTATCCGTTTGAGATAGAAGAAATGTGATCCCTGCAGAACTGTGAACTGTAGACTCCGAAATCACACTGCCTAGATAAACCCAGTATTTCAATACTGTTTTTCCAGCGTTTTCAATGAATATATTGCTTTTATCAAAAACATGCAATTAAAATTAAGCTCCTAGTGATCAATGGACACTATGTCTTAGTGACTGTGAGCATATTTCTCAGTCTACGTGAGGAATTCACATGTATGCTTACTATTTCTTCAATTTGCCTATTTTTATAAAACCAAGCATTTCCACACCTGAACGCTTTATACAGCCCTTACCCCCACACTACCAGTAATGTTTTTTGTTTTGTTTTTTACCTTTATTTTTGAGAGAGAGTGAGGGAGGCTCTGATGCGGGGCCTGAGTTGACCTGGGCCAAAATCGGATGCTCAACCCACTGAGCCACCCAGGATTCCACAGTAATGTCTTTTTTAGAAACGTCTCTTAGCAGTCCCAAATTCTTAACGAACAAAGGCCTTTGTGCTGAAGGGACAAGAGGTAAATAATGAAGTGGGAGGGTTAAGAAAAGCCTCACTTCTACTCTAGATTTCCTCTTCAAAAGATCGGGTTGGTGCCACCAAGGGGAAAAAAAAATGGGATTGGAGTAAAACTATCCCTTCAAGTTCTGATACTCTCTGATACCTCTAGGCCAGTTCCAGAGGCCGTGTTAAAAGGGGTGGGAACAAAAAGAAGGATACCACGGGTACAAGTTTCGGTGCAGACGAGCACCAGGGAAAAGACAAATCTTGCCTTAGGTTTCTCGCTTTCTTCGGAATAAATTTTGTTAGGCGGCGACGCGGACACCTTTGCTCCGTGGTGATTGGCTCCCGGCGGGGGCCTCGCGTTTGTCCAATATGGCGGCGCCCAGTGGCGGTGTGAACTGTGAGGAGTTCGCCGAGTTCCAGGTGATGGGGTTTTCCTCATGTGGCAGGTGTTACCCCCCAATTGTCCCTGGATCCTGTTCGCTGCTGTGGCCTGGGAGGGAGTGCGGATCAGTTGTGGAAGAAGCGGGCAGTTCAAGGCTCCTTTTCCCAGCCATTGGAGGTCATGGGGGCGCGGGCTTGGCCATAGCGAGGCAGCTCCGTGGGGGTCATGGTTCTCCTTGCGACGCCCAGGCCTTGAGTAACCGTCCCGGGAAACTTCGAGTGGTTCCGAGGTGGTAAAACCAAGCTTGGGCCGGGTGGTAGAGATTGTAACAACCTTTGAAGCCATCCCCTGAACTCAGTTCCTAGCCTCTGCCATCCCCCTCCTGCTTTAAGTTGACCACTCGTAGGAGAGAAGAAAGTGAAGGAGAACTTATTTACTTGACAAAACAAAATAAAAACTTGGTACAAGTCTTCCTGTTTTGATAGGGCAGAACGTTTGGAGTTCTTGAAGGGGCGATTAATTTTAGTACCTGCTGTGGTGCTTCTGCCTTCCTATCCATTAGAGGAAATGTAACACTTAAGGAAAATGTATTTTAGGACTAATACCGACCCATGAATTAAAGAAAGGGGTCTGGATTTTAACTAAGTTGCTATGAAAGTTATTTTAATGTAGGTATAAACGTGCTGATGTCTAGATAAAGAGTTGAACTCAAAAACTCATGACCTTACAAATGTATCTTTAAAGATAATGAAAAATAATTTCACGTATCACTGACCTGCCTGTAGGAAGTTTTGTTCTATGAGCCATTTTGTAGGGAGTGGTATTCTTGAAGATAACCTCAACAGACTGAATTATTTGACAAACAGTTATTTGGCCAAAGAAGTTTATGTGGGGTCTTTCCACTTTTTTCGTGCCCTCTTCACCACTTCAGCTCCTCCTCACAACAGATGAGCACAACAGCAGCCAACTTCAAATGCGATCAAAGTGCTGGACAAATACTGATACTTGTAAAAATCTTAAATAAGATAGAAAAAGGTCGTTAGATTATGAAGTATGTGGAATATTTAAGATTAACAGGCCTGTTTATGGCCTTGATCTTTCACATTAATTAGTACTATGAATTAATGAGCTCAGATAACTGAGCAATGATAGCCTTAGGTTTACGAGAATGAGCACTGGTTAGGGAGTTAGATGTTCTGGGTTCTAATACAGCTTCTGCCGTTAACAGTTTTTGGACCTTGAGCTAATTGCTTAACCACTTAGGAATTAATTTTTGAATCTGCAAAATAAGATTTTGTTAAGTGACATTTAAAACTGCTTCCATCTTTATAATTATTTGAATCTCTAAAACTAAATTTCTTTTTTTAAAATATAATTTATTAAGTTAGCAAATATACAGGGTATACAGTGTTTTCTTGGCTTCGGGACTAGATTTCTATGATTCATCGCTTATATACAAAACCCAGTGTTCATCCCAACAAGTGCCCTCCTCAGTGCCCATCACCCATTTTCCCCTCTCCCTGCCTACCCCACCCCCATCAGCCCTCAGTTTATTCTCTGTATTTAAGAGTCTCTTATGGTTTGCCTTCCTCTCTGTTTGAAACTATTTTTTTCCCTTCCCTTCCCCCATGGTCTTCTGTTAAGTTTCTCATATGAGTGAATTCTACATATGAGTGAAAACATGTGATATCTGTCTTTGACTGACTTATTTCACTTAGCATTATACCCTCCAGTTCCATCCACATTGCTGTAAATGTCAGGATTCCATTCTTTCTCATTGCCAAGTAGTATTCCATTGTATATATAAACCACATCTTCTTTATCCATTCATCAGTTGATGGACATTTGGGCTCTTTCCATAATTTGGCTATTGTTGATAATACTGCCATAAACATTGGGGTACATGTGCCCTATGAATCAGCACTGCTGTATCCTTTGGATACATTCCTAAGAGTGCTGTTGCTGGGTCATAGGATAATTCTAATTCTAATTCTAATTCCACACTGTTTTCCAGAGAGGCTACAGCAGTTTGCGTTCCTACCAACAATACAAGAGGGTTCCCCATTTCTCCATATCCTCACCAACATCTGCTGTTTCCTGAGTTGTTAATTTTAATGTTTATTTATTTTTGAGAGAGAGACAAAGTGTGAGTGGGGGAGGGGCAGAGAGAGAGGGAGACACAGAATCAGAAGCAGGCTCCAGGCTCTGAACTGACGCGGAACTCGAACTCATGAACCATGAGATCATGACCTGAGCCGAAGTTAGATGCTTTACTGACTGAGCCACCCAGGTGCTCCCTGGGTTGTTCATTTTAGCCACTCTGACTGGTGTGAAGTGGATCTCAATGTGGTTTTGATTTGCATTTGATTTGATTTGTGGTTTTGATGTGTGTGTTGGCCATCTGGATGTCTTTGGAAAAGTGTCTGTTCATGTCTTCTGCACATTTCTTCACTGGATTGTTTTTCAGGTGTTGAGTTTGTTAAGTTCTTTATAGATTTTGGATACTAACCCTTTATCCGATATGTCATTTGCAAATAACTTCTCCCATTCTGTCTGTTGCCTTTTAGTTTTGTTGATTGTTTCCTTTGCAGTGCAGGAGCTTTATATCTTTATGAGGTCCCAGTAGTTCATTTTTGCTTTTATTTCCCTTGCTTTTGGAGACGTGTGGAACAAGTTGCTGCAGCTGAGGTCAAAGAGGTTGTTGCCTGTTTTCTCCTTTAGGGTTTTTATGGTTTCCTGTCTCACATTTAGGTCTTTCATTATTTTTATGTATGGTGTAAGAAAGTGGTCCAGTTTCATTTTTCTGCATGTTACTGTCCAGTTCTCCCAGCACCATTTTCTAAAGAGACTGTCATTTTTTCCATTGGATACTCTTTCTTGTTTTGTCAAAGACTAGTTGGCCAGACGTTTGTGGGTCCAATTCTCTGTTCTATTCCATTGGTCTATGTGTCTGTCTAAAACTAAATTTCAAAGGTAGCTGTTAAAAGACCCAATAGTGCTTAGAAAACACCTTTATTTTTTCTTTTGGAAGGGCAGATAAAATGTAAGGGGAACAAAAGCTAAATTCTCTTGTAGAACCATTCCATTCACAGAAATAATGTAAATAAAAAGATCATAAAATGAATGTCATTAGTGAAACCTGGGGTAACTTTTTAAATAGTCTTTCTAGGGCTTTTCCAAATGTGTGGTTTATAATGGGGAATACCCTGGGTTAAAAGTCAGAAGATCTGATTTTCCAGAGCTGGCCTTGGGATATCACTTAACTTCATTGTAAATAAATATAAGAACATTTGCCACAACCCTCATAGGCACGCATGAACATAAGTGAAGGTAATGTAAAATGTAAAAATTTAGTATAACATTTAGGTTTAGATGAGTTAGGTAAAATTATAAGCTGTGGTTAGCTGGCACACTCACAAATTCTTAATCAAAGATAATATTTTTAAAGCTGTGAAACCATTATATTTTGTATAGAAGTACCCTAAATGTGAAAAGCACTGCACTGAGTACTGTGGAAGAGAAACAAGAAATCATGTATTTTTATTATAAAGATTTAGGTACTTTTTCCTTAAAATTTTATTATGAAAATGTTCAAATGCTACAGAAAAGTTGAAAGAATTTTACAGTGAATTCTTATGTACATCTAGATTCTATAATCAGTGATTTGCTGTATTTTCTCTATCACATACTCATCTCAATATACCCATCAATTCACCTCTTTATTTTTTTGATGCTTGTCAGTGGCAGTTGCAAACATCCATATTCTTCACTCCTAAATGTGTCACTGTTCATATCATTAACTAGTATTCAATATTTGTTCACTTTCATTTTGTAAAATTTACATGCAGTGAAATGCACTGATGTTAAGCATACCAGTCTTTTGATATTTACATATACCTGTAGT